ATTTTTGAAATATTTTATGTTGTCAATTATCATGATTTATAGTATTTTTACGCAATTTTTAAACTCTCTTTTATGATAGATAGAATAGAATAGAAAATAGAAATATAATAATAAATATAAATATAATATATAGTATTCAAGAAAGTCCCAATGTTGAATATTATATATTATACTTGGGTATAAAATAGAATTTTAAAAGTCCCACAAGTATAATATATAATATTCAACATTGGTAAAAGTCCCAAACTTGAATATTATATATTATATTTGGGCCTAAACTCTCTTTTATAATATAGTAGAAAAAAATGTAATAAATGTCTATTTTTGTATATTTGTTTTGGAGAAAATTAATAACCCTAAAAATGTTAGTAATCCTAATTTTGAGACCAAGGAAGTTTTCCTTATAAATAAAGGATTTTTCTGGTATTAAATCACGGAGAAAAATGATAAGTCTTCTCTTTTACTTTTTTCTCTATTATAGTTTTGTAGTATTATTTTATAATTTAATAACACATTACATACAAATGTCTAACCTTTTATTGGAGTTTAATGCACATTATTATCATTTTCAAAAATTAAAGTCCAATGATGTCACTCACAACTTACTAGAAATCAAGTGAGAAAGAAAGAATAAAACTCCTTTGTGGAGGAGAATAGTTTAACAGTATGTAATTAAGATATGTTTATAACTTTTTATGATGTTTGGTTTAAGTAAATTTTGCTATACGAGCCTTTTGCTCATTAGTATTGATTTAATTTATTTTTTTTGCTTCACTTGTAAGGTCATGTGTTGTGTTTATGTAATGGTTATTACTTTGGTGTTTATTTTCAGAAAAATGATCATTAGAAGTGTTAGTAATAGATCTTGTCTCAATTTGATCGATATCTTTTAAAAAGATATTTTATATATTATTGAATTTAATTTAAATCTACTTTGTTACAAATCCATTTAATGGTGGATGTTTCACTTGATCTATTCCTAACGTAATGCATCTATTTATTTTATTAATTAATTATCATTCTAACGTATTTGTCAAATGCTGTAAAAGGATGGTTTGAATATCCTATAAAAGGGTAGTCTTTCAACCTTGTGAAATACACTTGAAGAGATTTATATTTTACATCACCACTTGTCTTACTATATTGTTTAGTATTCTTATATTTTCCTCTTGTTTAACAACACGTTCTCATTGAGTACCTCGATGGTTGTGAGATCTCTCGATATAAATAAAGATCCATTCCGACCCCAAGAAAAGGATGCATATATTCTTAGTGATGAAACACCATATCTCAGTGCTATTGGGGAACTAATGTACCTTGCCAACAATACCCGACCAGATATTTGCTTCGCAGTAAGTTTATTGGCGAGATTCAGCTCATGTCCAACAAGAAGACATTGGAAAGGTGTTAAACATATATTCAGATATCTTCAAGGAACAATTGATATGGGGTTGTTGTATTCTAATGCATCCAAGTCAGAATTGATCGGTTATGCAGATGCGGGATATTTGTCTTGCCACATAAAGCTAGATCGCAGACATGCTATTTATTCACATATGGAGGTACATCTATATCATGATGTTCGATGAAGCAAACAATAGTTGCTATTTCTTCAAATCATGCAGAGATAATAGCCATTCATGAAGACAGTCATAAGTGTGTATGGTTAAGATCAATGACTCAACACATTTTACATTATGCGGTCTTTCTGTGAAAACAAAGATTCCAACAATATTGTATGAAGATAATGCTGCTTGCATAGCTCAATTAAAGGGAGGATATATCAAAGGAGACCGAACAAAGCATAAGTTCTTTTTCACACATGATCTTCAACAAAATGGTGAGATAAATGTTCAACAGATTCGTTCGAGTGATAATCTTGCAGATTTATTCTCTAAGGCATTGCCAACGTCAATATTTGAGAAGCTAAGATATAAGATTGGAATGCGTCGTCTCCACGATATCAAATAAGTTTTTCATCAGGGGGAGTAAATACGCGTTGCACTCTCTTTCCCTTAGCCAAGGTTTTGTCCCATTGGGTTTTCCTGGTAAGGTTTTTAATGAGGCAGGACTCAAGGCGTATTACAAGATGTGTGTACTCTTTCACTAGGCTTTTTCCTACTGGGTTTTTTCTAGTAAGATTTTAACGGGACACATTATCTATAAACATTCAAGGGGGAGTGTTACAAATCCATTTAAT